CACAAAAGGGTAAAAAGGCTGATAGTATCAGGGAAAAACCCTGAATGTTCCAACTGCCCAATAATTGGTTTCGAATAGTTCTTGGTAAATGAAATGTCAAAAAATATGATTTTTAGACTCACAATATCAAGTTTCAATTAATAAAGTTTGGGTTGTGTATGAAATTAGAAAGAACAATGCATTGAAAAAACCAGAACGATTTTGGGGTGCTTTTTTAGTCAGACTGGTTTCACGGCTATGGTAACATCGGGTACGTATAAGGGTGAACATAAATCTTCTGTGAACATGGAGCTCCACGGATCGATTCCCCGTAAGGAAAATTTGAGCTTATATATCACTCACGTTCTTCGAACAAAAAGAAAATTTATCACTCGCTATCCAGATAAAAAATTTGTTGCTGGATTCCAGAACAACAAAAAATTTATCTGTTTTTTTATTAGGCATCGATTGTTTCTGAATTCCAGCCGCAATATTTTCTAAAGTATAAAAAGTATATAATGTGTCAGTGGAGTTCGGATTGTGTGCTCCAAAAACCGAGCTTGAATCTGTAGTGCTATACAATCACTAAATTGTTCGCTGGTTTGAGCGGAAGAAAACTCTAAACGCCTCAAAAGAATTCAAAGGGTGATTAGAAAGTAAGCTTGCTGAATCGAATGGTATTACAGTAACTTAATCTGTAACTTTTCTATATGAAAAAAACTACAAAAGAACACCAGAATTTTCTCGCACAAAATAAATCCATTTTCAAGGAGTAATTTCATAAACACCACTTTCTTTTTTAAATGAGTTCAGATATGATTAGATTTTGATAACTGTCTTTCATTTAGATTTAAATAGAACTAGCATTTGAAAGCTCAGCTCATTTTTATCTCAAAAATGTCACTTTGGGAGCGTCCCCCGGGAGTTTATTGGTTAACGTGAATCTATAGAGTAAAAGCAAGTCGTCGAGTCTTCATACAATGTTCTTGACGAAAAAAAGCATGAAAATTGGACACTAGTATAAAATTGTACGACTAGCGTTTTTGTCATTCCTGGTTATATAAACCTAAATAGACTTCCATATAAACCTAAAAATTTGGCTGCTTGATAAAGAACTGTGAGAATAAAAGTTGGGACCAATTTTGACAAATTTTACGCTTCTTAAATGACAATTTTTGCGGAATTTAGAAAATCAAAATCTTAAAAAAATATTTTCTCACATCAAGCTTAAAAGTCATCAAAAGTCGTAAAAAAAATTATGACTTTGTAGTAGTGAGAACATGGTTGAAAGATGCCCGAGGGGAAAAAAAGCCCGGCCTGAGGGCACAAAGTGCTCGAGTGCGGCTCTTTTGCCCGAGGCCATCTTCAACTATGTTCTAACTGTTGAAGAGTATGTTTTTGCTCTTTTTGAGGAAAAGATGCCGCTAAATTGCGAAAGAGCCCGGAAAATTGCGCGAAACTATGCAAATGATTTCTTTTTTCATTCATGCGTTCTAATATTTCATTTTTCATTCATGCAAAAACATACTCTTCTAAGCTTGAGGTCAAAATATCAAGCTCATAATTTCGATATCTGATTCTGGTTGCCAATGATAAGCTTTTAAGCATGCATGTTCTTTACTTTGCTTTCACAATATTTTGAAATGAAATTTGAACTTACAGGATTTGGATTGTGAAGATAAACATAACTAGGCACCCAGTTTTCGCACCCATGAAATGAGTACTCATTGGACGTCGAACTTGAGTCGAAAAAAGTTTTACTTCGTGGAATTTTTGCCATCTGGATGCTCATTGATAAATTTATATTTTTTTATTTTTGATGTTTTTTAGTATGTATGTTGAACAGATAATGTTTAATCCTCTTTGGCTTTTTGGGTGCGATTTCTCAAAGGTTGGATTTCTTTAGATATAGTATGGGCTAAATTCCTTCAAAGAAGGCTTTCTTCTATTTATAACCTGCGGCGAAATATTTTTGTTCTAGTTATCATAACAAATTCTTTCTGCCGGGTTCAAAATCTGATAGATTATCACCCGCGGTGTTCAATAGGCAAGCGAAAAACAAAAAAAAGGCAAGGAAAAATTGCAACGATAGCGTTCAAAAATAATTGACCTTCTTTTGGCCACAATGTGATCAAAAATGTCAAAACTCATTTCACGACTTGATATAATGGTCAAAGGTCAGTTCAGCTGCTTTCATCTGATGAATAATTTTGACACGTTGTTAGATCATTACTTGGTATCTCCAAGGATAATCACAAAAAAGCTACTGTAAAACAAGGCGAAG